TCATGCCGCCGTTGCACTTGCAGTCGAAGCCGCCCCACGTGTTCTTGCACGAGCAGTGCGGGCAGGAGCACGCCAGCTTGTCTCTGCACTCGTCGACGTCTGCAATCCCAACGGGAATCAGCAAAGGCAGGCCAGGCTCGCTTAACTCGACGCAATTCTGACGCAAATTTGCAGGGAATCTGAGCAAGGTGAGTAGTGAGTACATACCTTGGCAATGGAAGCCGTCGCCCTTGAACCCCGGCGGGCACTTGCACCGGCTCAACTCTGAATCCTGCACACGCCGGAAGCATCAGAGCTTCAGACCATTCGGTAACCAGCGTGCCTGAATATCACGCCAAATAAGATAACATAGGAAACGATATTCTGAGCAGAATTACCGAGCAGGCAGAGAAAGTTTTCCCTTGTCTCGTCTCCTTCCAGCACCCACCATTGTCCATGGCGCACCGGCCCGGTCCGACGGCTGACGATGCAACGGAGGACAGGTCGAAAATCCATTCGAGTTCAGTGTTACTAGAGTGAAACGACTGTTAGATTGTATGACAAATACTGACGGAATGCTTGGTACCTTTGCAGTCGGTGTATCCGTCGCCTTGGTACTGAATGCCATCCACCACAGGGCACTGGCACATCCTCCCTCTGTAGGTGTCCTGCTTCCATTCCAGTACGCAGTCGGTTAGCAGGCAGGCAGGTAACGCTGAATTGTTGTGCACTCGAAGGAACTTTGTCGGAGGTGGGTACTACTAGTACTACCTTGCAGGCGGTGATGTTGGTCTTCTCGTCGCGCCAGCAGCCGCCGTTGTTGTTGAGGCACTCGTCGGTTTCCATGCCTGAAGAAATCGCAGAGCTGAGTTTAGCAGCTATCGGAGGCGAGTACTCAACTGAAGAAAGGAATTGATCAAGTGTAATGCTGTGACTTTCATCTGCTGAGGTTACTGACCGGGCGTCAGGCAGACATGAGGTTCAGTGGACTCCTTGAACCCAGCACAGATGGCTTTGAGAACCGCAGTGCTTTCCAATTTGCCTGAAAATGCCAAATTGTTCAGAGAAAAGCAAAACGGCATGGTCTCATCTTGTGACGAAATTGGAGGGCTCGTACGTCCATACCTCGATACTGCACATTGTTGATCACCAGCGTCGGCAAGATCGTCACGTCCCCTCGAGCTCCATGTCCGACCTACAAGAATCGAGATATCATCATCAGCTTGTGAATGTGCAAACACTTGTGAATGAATTGCTACCAATGCAACAACACGCCACTCCCGGCCGAAATGGACGCTTGCCATTTCAGAATCAGCATGCCTGACTGACAAACCTGAACAATCTGCTCCGTCCTGAGCACATCATTCTCGGCGTCGGCGTCGGGATCCCCCATGCACTTGTCGATCTTGTCCATCGGCAAGCCTGCCACACCGAAACCAGATGAGCACAGCACTCCAATCCATCGCGGGAGCCGGGAGGGAAAAAAAACTCTCAGGGTCAGAACGCGCACCGAGGGACCGGACGACGTCCTGGGCGCAGGCGGTGCTGTACTTGTTGTCCTTCATGGAGCAGCGGAGGTGGTAGTCGGCGACGTAGTCCCACCACACCCAGGGCCGGCTGGAGGCGTTGGCGACGCGGTGCACGCAGAGCTGCCGCAGGTTCTCCACCACCACGTCCTTGCCGTCGTAGCCGGCGCCCAGGTCGCCCTCCGGGTCCGGCGCGCAGTAGCGGCCGCGGTTGATGCACTGCGCCTTGCACTGCGGCGTCTCCAGGAACGCGTCGGGGCAGAACCAGGTGATGTAGTGCGGCGTGAAGAGCGCGTAGCCGCCCTTCTCCAGCAGCTGCGCGTGGCCCCGGAACGCGCGCACGAACGCCGCCTGCTCGTCGCACCGCGGCCCGCACTCGTCGTTGCTGTTGGTCCAGAACTCGTACTCCACCCGCTCGTCGGGGTGCGGCATGGACTCGCGCCAGTCCAGCCGCACCACCACCTCCTCCTTCTCCTTGGACCCGTCGGACACGGCGTGGCGGAGGGCGTCGCCGAACCGCTTCGACACCAGCGCGGACGGCACCGTGATGTTGGCGAGGAACGCCATGTCGGGGGTCTCCTCCTCGGGGCTGTCCATCGTCAGCAGCGGCTCGTCGGCGCTGTCCGCCACCAGCACGGCCGCCGCGCCGGCCTCCTGCGCGTGCCACGTCTTGAGCGCGAAGTAGCAGCCCCCGCGGTCCACGAGGAGGACCACGGGACGCCCCGACGGGGACCTAAACTTCTCCCCGCCGAACGGCTCGCAGGCCGTGGCAAGCTTCGCGTCCGGGTACAGCACCACGCCGGTCAGCGTGCCGCCGTAGTCCGGGACCCCGTAGTTGGCGATCGCGGCCTCGTGGTAGCCGCGCAGCGAGCGCGGGGACATCACCTTGATGCTGTTCTTCTCCACGATGAACCGTGCCGATGCCAGGCTCGCCATGGTCACCACCAGGCACGCCACGGCGGTGAGCCTCCTCTCGTGGCCTTGGACGTTCAGCGCCATCGCCGTGTTCCTTGGGGACCCCGGCCCTCTCTGTACGTGTTGGTTTGGCAAATCCTGTAGTTCGTTAGAGGCGGAGACGGCATATGGAGTTTTACGAAGTTTTGGCTCCTGTTGGAATATTGTACTAGACTAGATGGCACATGTCATTATTATCTTCATGGAACAGCAAATTCTTTGGCAGTTTGCGCATAAATTCATAAACTGAAATCTGAACCGGTAAAAGTTTGAATCTTTCTGCGCTATGTCGCCGTACATGGCCTTGCGTTGACCTCTAAAAGCTTGTTAAGAAGTCTATTATTTACCTCAAAAGAAGTCTTTTATTTCGCTCGCGCGAACCCAAAAAAAGAAGTGTCCCCTCGCAACACAAGAAAAAGAGGGGCAGGAATGACAAAGGCGGGCTGGAATGACATCGCTTGCATTGCACATCATGGTACGATAATTTGTTTGAACAATTCGTTGGTGACACTGACATGAGTGGGTTGCAATTGCATCCAACCATCCAGCTCTTGCGGTCAGTCAGCGGGTGGGGATGATGATGACAACTGGGCGTGTGGTCTAAACTACATGCGCAAAGACGATTTCAAATGAAGACCAACTCAAAAGGCCGTCAGGTCACTGATCCAATAACATAAGTACTACAGGGAACCAACATTAGTTCTTGGAACATGCTACAAAAAATCCTGCACAGTACTCGTCCTCCGGTTTAGTACCGCACACATGATGTTAGCGAACGCGAAGTCAACTGCTGTCATGTTGTTTCACGAACAGGATGATGTGCACGAGTACATGAGCACCAGTGGACTTGTAATAATTTTATCAGGTCCTGTGGCAGCCCCATGTCCATCTGAGTGACACCAAATGACAATTCATATGCTCCCTAACTGCTCGACATTGGTTCCAAACATGGGCGATGAGCAGATGAGAACATGGTTCAAGGACTGAATAGCTTGAGAGAAGTTTCTAACATTCTAAAATGCCATGGAGGTAGGTGTTCAGCTATTATCAACTTTATCAGTTTCTGGAAACACCTCAATTGTGAAAATGAAACCATACTACGCATGCCTAATCAGCAACTCAAAACAGTTCACCACGATACCATGTGAAAATGAAACAAAATCTCAGCAATTTGCGTACTTGACATTTATACCCACGAAACAGAAACAGCTGATAGTTCCGCGCTATCCTTCTTCACACTCATTTCAACATTTAGTAGGTAACCCAAGAATGGACTTAGGTGCAAATGACTGCCGTTACATTGATTGTTCAAACTGGAAACAAAACAGCATGATTTATAAGACAATAAGCTTTTATGCCTCTACTTCTTAAAAGAAAACTTCCCCTTCTTCCTAGCTTTTCTCTTGTCTTTCTTGATCTTCAAATGGAGTTGTACCTTCTTCTTGCTAATGGTGCCAAGTGGCTTCAACAAGGTTTTAGACCTGTTGTTCCCTTCATCAGACATCTCCACATCTGTATTGATGAGAGCACAGAACACATCAGTTGAGGAAAAAAAAGATAAGGTGCGAGTGGAGTTGCAGGAAGAGAAAACAGTAGGATCCACAAAAGGTAAACTTGCTATATGTTTACTGATGAATTGGGTGCCTTAGTATACATTGACAGGCATCCATAACAGAAAGCCAAGTCTGAAATTTTTTTTGCATGTTATTTAATCAAGCATTTGAATTTTGCTAAATGGCATCCCAACATTCAAGAAGTTGCAAGATTATAACCATCACTGTTTATGCAAAACATCATAGAACTGGTTAGTTCCTTTTCGTACAGCTAAGTTTCTATGAGAACTAAATATCACTTCAATAGTTACCAGTTTTTCAAATGGGTACAATTTATGATATTTTTTTTCTCAATATGGTTCACATCATTCAATCCAAGTGGTAGCAACAAGGTATGTACTAAGATGGCACGCATACCAGGGCTTAACTGCAAATTTATATATGGCAGCTTAGCCATAGATCTTTACAATCAGGCCAATCCAAACCCAGACGAAGCTAATCAATCAAATGTACAATAAGGTGGCAGCTGGTAGCAGAATACCAAAGCCTCTCCAATCAACAAAAAAGATCTAAGCGTGATGGCACGCAGTTTGCAAAGGTATATTAAGTTTGTATTCCAGGACTACACTATTAAGACAGTTCTTTCTGAGCTAATGTGTTCTTTTTTGAGAGAGCTAATGTGTTATGATTGTTACTGCATGATTCGATCCAGACAGCTTAAATCATTGTCCTCGAGATCAAATTCACAGCTCCCACACTTAGTAGTACAGAATACAGATGCAGCTCCGGATAGAAAAACACACAGTGGGCACCTCCTTGCGAGTAGTATAGCCGTAGTGTTTTAACAGATAACAAAGTGAACCGAATGAACAGCTAGAACAGAAGGCGCGTGGAGAAATTCCGATTCCACCTGAAACTACAGGAGGCAATCCACGGCAGCTGGTGAAACATAAAAGTTTTATAGCGCTCACCAATAGCTGAGGCCGAGCTAGCGCCGCGGGAGCTGCCGGCATCCTGGGACAGCAAGGGCGGCGGCCTGCGCGGCGAGCTTGGCGGCCTCCTTCTTGTCGTAGAAGGGCTCCGCTATCTCCCGGCGCAACGTCCGCAGCCGCTTCTCCCGCTTGGATCGCAGAGACTTCGCCATCTCCGCCGCCGCCGCAACAAGCGAGGCTAGGGTTTGGGAGTCGGCGAAGCAAGAGACGGAGCAGGCTTGCCTTGCTTTGGTTTTGTAGGAAGGACTGAAGGAGGGGTTATCTGAACTTGGGCTGGGCTTACTTTTTAAAATGTAATATGGGATGGGCTTATTTGTTCAACGTAGGCATTGACGATGACCAAATTGGGTGGGATGGGCCACTTGTTCCATGTACTCCTTCCGTCCAGGAAAAAAAAAAACATAATTCTAGCTTTAAACTTGGACAGTCGTCATATCCAGGTTCAAAGTTAGAATTGGGTTTTTTTCTGGACGGAGGGAGTAGAAAAGGTCCATTTAACTTTCCATATTTTCGATGAACTCCGATTTGTCTCTCCTAGTTTAAAACTAATATTTTAAGCATCTCCCGGAGACTAAGTAAATCGTTTTGTAAATGTAAATATGGCTATTATTGGGTAAAAATTGTCTTCAATAGACTCTGTAGATGGCTCTCTAAGCATGTGTTTGGTTCTGAGACTGCCTGGGTTGGGTGGATTCCATTCCGGTTTTTTGGGTTGGGTTGATTCCATTTCTTGTTTGGTTAATGGGTTGGGGTTATCCCTCGTTTTTTGTTTGGTTGGAGGGGAATGAAATGTGGGTTGAGGTCCCTGACACGTGGAGCCCACACGCCAAAGCCTCCTTTCCTTTCTCTTATCAATCAAAGCATGATGCTTTTCTTCTTCCCAGGTTAGAATCTGTTTATAAACTTAAACTTAATTATTTAATGATGCAAAACCATAATTGCCCCAACTTGTTGCACATACAACCCTGTTCAGAAAAAATCTATAAAATTATAGTAGCTATCTCATGCTTCACATAGACTACCATAAAAATTTTAAAGTCATTGGGCAAGCAGAACTTTGCTGTGGTGGCATGTCTATTTTAGCATAATTAGAAAACCCTATTGAAAAGTGGATCTAACATCATTCTAGCATCAGCACTCACCAAATTTTACCCTTACTGGATCTATAGAAAAATTATGAAAATTCACACTCCCATCCATGCAAATAAGAGAATTTTCTATCTCCTACATACAAAGGTCCAAAATATATGAAAATTTAACTACAAGCTATTCATGATATGAGCAGGACCTCAATTCCATGCCATTCGAGCTACATAGAAAAAGATATAATTACCGATTAAAAGAGATAATTAACAACTCTATTTTTCATACAGAACATAGCATAATTTATATTTTTAATAAAAACTAGACATTATCATGAACTCCAGCAAAATTGGAACCACATCATTTGAATCTACCAACTAGGAGATACTATTTTTAAATCTATACACCAATCTATGCCAATTTGAAACCTAATGAACTCCACGGCCGGCCCCACTCCCTAGAGAATGATGGTTGCACGCCACCCGCAAGAGCTCCCCACCAGAGAATGATGGGTGTGACGTGGGACCCACGCGATAGAGAGATAGGCAGGGAAGGAGGAAGACGACGGCGTAGTTTCGTCGTCGCCGGTGATAGCTCCGACGAGTCCAATTGACTACGATGTTCTCTCGCCGTCCGCATCTCCGTCCTCGGCAATGCGACGACCATGGCGGATCTCCGAAGTCGACGACGCACCCCCACAAGAGCACGTCCAGCGCAAGGGAGAGAAGGGATGGCAACGGCGATGAGCCGACCTCCGCTTACAAGACTCAAACGAACCAACCGAGAGATGAGGTGGTAGAGGAGATCACGGCGAGCTCACGGCGGACTTTTGCAAAGGCGCTCGCTAGGCGATGGCGATCCGGTCGGCAATGGCGACTCAGCTACCTCCATGGCGGGCGCTTGCTTCGCGCTCTCGGTCTTCCCAAAGCGCCCGACGGAGGTTTGAGATTAACTCCTAATGTGATCTAGCCATAGTTAACAAAGTTGAACCTATATGTGAACTACAACTCTTACCATTGGAGCTCGACCTTTGTTAGGGATCTACAAGGTGACCCGTTGGGTACACTAAAACCCGGCGCACTTAGAAATTTTTCTGAATCAGCTTCAAGTTTGACTTCCCTTTTGTTCCTCCGCAAGGTCTCTAAGTTGCCAAGCAAGCAACTGCTCATTTCTTGTCAAACCGCTTCTTTGTCATTTTGATCGCAATGTCCATCGGGTCCGCTCCGGTTTCTTCGATTTGGAGGGGCAGGGGGAACCCGGATCTGGGAGGAATATTCCCTTTCTGGGATGATCCGAACCCAGCAGTATGGCAACCAAACGCAATAAAAATTGGGTCCAACCCGCTCCGACCCAGTCGGACCTCCCATCCAAACACATGGTAAATTTGCTAGCTAGCTATCCCTGAAATTTTGGTCTCCATACATGGACAGCCAAAGCTGCTCGCCATCAGGCCCTTTCCCGCGCCAGGCGACTGTTTCCTGCGCGCTGTTGCCACGATTCCCCGTCAAGCCGTGCGGCCGGCTGCATGTCGCACTGGCCGCCCCATGCGTGCATAGATGGGCGGCTGGGGCAACCATCAGCAGGCTGCCGCAATTCACTGTCAAGCCGTGCCGCCGGCTGCATGTCGCAATGGCAGCCCCTGCGCGCCTTGATGGCTGGGTGACGGCCAGTCCCTTGTGTGATGGCTGGGCTTGGTCAAGCCCCTACCGTGTGTGGCCTGCCCGACGTCCACGATGATGCCTGGGCTGCTGCTGAACCTGAGTTCCAGGCGTCGACGAGGTCTACGCAATGATCCGAAAAGGCAGCGTATGGCCAGGTCTATGGGTTCAGGATGCATCCGAAGACAAAAGATCTGATGACGTGGTAGGTTTAAATTTGGAGAGTCTCAGTTTCTAGATAGTTTATTGGAGTGGTCTATCTTTTGTAGGTGAGATTCATTTTAGAGAATAGCTAAATCACTAATTTTAGATTTTTTTTTGGCTAATCTCTCGGAGATGCTCTAACCTCCTTTAACTTTTGAAACCATTCAAATTTGCTCCACGTGTAGTTTTGAAAACAGTTTAGCTGACGTGATGGAGGTAAATCGAATTACATTAACAATCCAGAGGTCAATTAGACTTCATCCAAAAATATAGAAAAAACATGCAATTAAAAACTTACAATCTGAGCTTGACCCGATGTATTTATTTCAATTATTCACACGAAGCTAGCGGACGGTCTGTCCAGACTCGGGCCCAAACAAAAAAACCCGACCGACAAAGCATGTGTGTCGTTCATGTGCAAAAAATTTTTGCTTGAAAAAATGGGCCTTTTTTTTGCTTCGGTCTAGCAGACAATCATAGCATTTGCTAGCAAATAAACTTAAGTTAGATACTTTAAGATAAAGCACAATGTAACGGTAATTGCAGAATTGGATAAAATCATAGGAAGAACAGCAAGGATTTTGGGGCGGCAGCAAGAACAGCAAGTAGTTAGGGAATACAGAGGAAGGTTAAGAGTACAGGGTTTTAGAGTTCAATCCATACCCCTGACACTACGCCCGCCAGGCTTATATCACCGCAACGGTTACAAGGACGGCAACGTCCAGCTATACAACGTAATGGCCCACAGCCCGCTAACTGACTATGCGCTAATGAGTATTACAACCGGGGTCAACCCGTCAGCCAAGCTCACTCCTTCTTCACTGCCTCTCCGCCTATTGTCGGACGCCCAATAGTACCTTGTGCGGCGCTCTTCTTCTGTATCCTGACACACAATTTAGGAAAAAATAAAATTATTTTCATATTTTTCTGAGCTAAAACTAAGTTTCTAAGATTAGATTTTAGGATTTACAATTGTATGTATTTGACCTTTCAAAAAAACAATTGTATGTATTTTTTTCAAAAAAATGGACATTTTTTGAAAATATGTATTTTAATAGGCTTTTTATAAAGTCTAATTAATCCCTAAACTATTAACGCTGGTGTGGCTTCCAGCCAAAGCCACTATCAAAGCCGTGCAAGTAAACTCAGATGGTTTCTTTCCGATCCACTAATTGACGATCGGTTACCCGATTTGAAAACAGCGAAACAATATTCCGACAAGATGCAGTTTTCTATTTTAGAAAAAAAATAACTCCCACCTCTTTCCCCTATTGGATGGTGCCAACAGTGCCGCGGCTCCACTAATTGGGGATCGGTCACCCGATTTGAAAGCAGCGAACAATATTTCGACAAGTTGTAGTTTCCTACTTTAGACAAAAATAACTCCCACCTCTTTCCCCTGTTGGATGGTGCCAACAGAGCCACATGCTCCGCCCCAATGTGGGCGCCCACTCACCTGGATGCTTGGATGTGATGTCACCCTAGGAAAAAATCAAAATATTTATTTTAAATTGCTATAATTTTAGAACGGTGTATCCATTTTCAATTCCGTCTGCACCCGTGTGTTCTACGTGATGAGGTGAACAAAACTATATGCCATTTGCATATGTTTCGAAGAATTTTATTCTAATAACAATTTATGTATACTAACTTATAACATATAACTTATGCAAAAAAAAATTTGGAAAAAACATAACCTATGTACAAAATATTATAAAAAACAACTTATGTTCATAAGTTATTCTACAAATTATCTACGTAAGTTATTCTATATAACTTGCCATCGTTATCCAATAAAGTTCTGATAAAAACTTGTGTTAATAAGTTCTGCTCTGTAAAATGTTATATTTATGGTCATAAGTTACATAGAAAGTTATGTGTATAGCTTAGTAACTTCTCAAAAAAAAGTCTGAAACATATGGAACACATGAAACATGCGTATAGAGCCATAGTAACTTATGCAACATCCAGATAAACACTTGAAACATATGTCTGAAACACTTGAAATATAAGTTTGCAACAAATGCAACATACAAGATCTATTTACAACATTTAGATGAAACACTTAAAATATAAGTATGAAACACCTGAAACATTTGAAACACAACGTCGACGGTGTCCGCAACCTACTTAGTGGGGAACTCCGGTAGCCAACAAACTCGGTCCGGGGACCTCGAGAGCAACGGTTCAGCGTACACTCCAGGTGC